TTCACAACCCCCGTTCGGCGCGGAAGAAACCATCGATCACTCGCTTAAGACGAAGGCGCTTCGCAATGTCCTTTGGTACCTCATCTACCGTACCCAGAATAATGACCCTACCTTATTATAGTCATGACCAATGAATAGAAGTAGACCTCGTGCACATGGGAAAATGTCTTGTTTGCTGTCCCAGCCACTCCATGATCATGGCCACCGAGCCAATCTTCACTTCCCCATTTAGTGATGCGCTGCAATTGTTCGAGTATCTAGCATGATAATCGTGATGTTGAATCCCGTGTGATTCATGCCCCGTCCTACGAGGATGTACCTTTTTGTCCTCAGGCGCGGGTCGCGAATCAAGCCACGTCATGGGAGCGCGGCAAACGGGAATACGTACACTCAACGGCTCGCTGTGCGCATCTGGTGCATGGTAGCCCTTTGTCGCAACGGACTCTTCTCCTACTACACATGTCGCACGGTCTCGGTCGAATGGAGAATAAGTGCTTCCCGCGGGTCTCGAGTTGTGCTGCGCTTTCTGGCGAACAACTGAGGCTACCAGCGACACAGGCCTGACACGGTCTTTGACTATCACACCTGATCTTGCGACTTTGGCACCGCATGCATGGAGGTGAGGTATCAGTGACAGGCGATGAAAGATCGTCATCGCATTTTGGAGCCTCTGAGACTGACTCTATGACTGCACGTGCCTCCCCCCAAACTTCCTTACCTCCCAAATCACATGTACCGTCTAACCAAAGGATTGATCTCAGACCTGCCTTGAGATCGCTCCAGTGGGCGACGCCGGATTGATGAATCAACTTCGACAAAGTAGCTGTCAAGAATGGCCGCTCAGACTTCCCCTTTGCCGCAATTGCGCCCATGGTTGTGGCCCAAAGAAGAAGAGAACCAATTCGCGGTTGTAAAATGAGGACTTCCAAAAGGCGAATCTCTTGAATCTTGCGCTTGAGCTGCTTTACGAGGCTACCAAACGGTGCCCCGACTCCAGATAGAGGGAACGTCACGCCGATGCTGTAGATAATGGCAGCAATACGGCATATTTCAGAAAGAACGTTTTCTGGCTCGCCACCAGTGATGACTGGAATAGACATCAAATTATACTGAGCGAGGTTGCGTCGATCGCACATGATCTGCGCTGTCAGACCCGGCGCACTTCCCCTGATATACCTCTCCACAGCTGTTGAGAAATCGACCAATTCCATCATCACTGCGCTGACCAGCGGGTGGACTCTGGCCGCATGGAGGATCATCATACACGTTGATTCACATCGTGGTTCTTGTGTGACCTGTGTATTGAAGTTTTGCACATCAGGTGCGGACAGTGGATAGAATGGAAGGGGCGGGGTTGACAGGAGCAAAGTCGAATTGACGAGGACTCGGCTGTTTGATGGTCACAAGGACAGCTCTGGCAAAAGGTATACGGTCGGCAAATACTCACAAGAAAGCCGCTGCTGCAAGGCCCGGTGTCTCGATCCTGGCAAGACCCCCGCGCATATTAATAAGTTTGCACAACCCTTCCTGATGGCCAAGATTTGGCTCACGGGCACTGTGAACGCTCAACCACTGAAGATCTTGTAGATGCGCCTGGAAGGGCGGTTCTTCCAACCAGCCGTCAGAGCTTATCAAAAACGGGCTTTCGACTGTCATCAGAATGGCCAGTATAGTGGCATCCGTCAAGGCGCGTCCTGGAGTCAGTAGAGCGAGGTTGATTGCACCGATGGCCTCTTTGTAACAGGCTTCGATGACTGGCTTCATGAGCTCAGTTGCTGGCAGCGATTTGCCGCCCGCAAGCAGGTCATTTATTCTCTTGTGCGAGAGAGAGGAAAAGAGAAGTGCCGGGAATAGCGCGTTGTCACACAGTGACATGGGTAGCCAGACCTGGATGTAAGGATTCACGTAATTTTTGACAGGCAGCACAAGTGGTGCCATAGTCGAGTGGCCTTGTCAGTTACACTTCAGCATGCGATGAATCCCTTAGGTACAGCAAAAATGTCGAAACTCACGGTAGATCAGGGCATATTGAACTATCTGGGGCGCCATCGTGGTGGGGTACGTGCCTGCATGCGAGAATAGATCCGTCTCACGGAACAGGAGGTCGATGGATCCTGAATCAGTGGTTGAGTTAATTTGGAGGTCCTTAGGAAGCAGCAGAAATATTTGGACTTGGGAGAGAAATGTGTTTACCTATGATATACTCCTCATTCGCACATTCTGTATCATAATCAGAGATAACTTCGGAAGGCTCTTTCATCCTGTCGTCCTGCAGGTGAGAATCGCTATTGCCATTAGCAAAACATCCGCATCAACTGTGGAGTTAGTAATCTTACTGGGGTACTTTGAAGGGGAACGTCAGGGCGTGTAGGTTACTGAAGTCTAATATTTTGGCTGGAGCGATCGAAGCAAGTTGCTGCGATGGTGAGGACTTGACCCCAATTTGAACATTGAATACCCCTGAGAGTAGGCCATTCAAAACCACTACGCTGGCTCTCGTGCCTCCTGGCTACTAAAGTGTCATCGCGCAATCGACGCCACGTGACTGCTGACCAGTTCCCATCTGTCTTTCGGAGTTGTCCGTCACTCGGCTATACGGGAACGAACGTACCCACAGACAAGCACACTAATACTACACCGATACAATGTGCAGCATCGGAATCTTTCTATAAGACCAGTGAGCATATGATCATGCCAACAGTGGGACTCGTTCTGTCCCCGGGTCGATCTTCCACCCAGCCACCGAGCCCAGTCCCTGACCACCAACGGGCTGAGACATACATACATACCCACGAGTGGTAAGACGACGCGTTGCAGACCGAGGCCTCAAACAATGGGTTTTTCCACTGTTCTTCATTTTCGATGGTAGATCATCCAAATCAGAAGCCTGGTGCTTTCGCTCACGCTGACTCTTGTAAATTATAGCCCTGTCGCTGGAGAAGATCGTTGTGGAAAACGAGTCTTATTCGAGAAAGCATATCACTCGGTGATGATTCGGGTTTTGACTCTCAGATGTGATTGATTGATCTACAAGCGCCGATCCCGCGACTATAAATTCGCTGAGCCACCAGCACGAAGCTGTGATGTGATATTGTAAAGTGTGAGCTTAATACGGCGTGGAGCACTCTGGGAGGAGGGGATTCCTTGACCAGGAAATGACGTCCCCCTATCTCACAATGTGGTCTAGATCTGCAGTTTAGAACTTCCAGATCTGGAACAAGCCCGGCCAGATGAGTAGAGGATGGTATTCTATGAACATTGCTTCTCACGTATCCTGATCTGTAATATGGCTTGGCCTATATAAAAGGAGGCGATCTCGGCCAACTTGTGTGTCAAGCTCTCCCGATATTAAGCGGCGGCTACCTTACCTCCGAGTCCGAGCATAGTCCTTAAGCGGTACAATGATACCTTGAGTAGAGATTCTTCGTCCTGTTCTCTCTGTTTGGGGGCCAGAATTGAGATCTAGGATATTTTGTTGGTCAATCCTCGAGAATAGATATTAACTTTGCATGACGGTTCCTTTTAGGCTTGGACTAAAGTTTATTGGAAGATCATACTAGTATAGGAGCGTTACCTAGTAGAGATCAGTCCGAGTATTCTTCTTAGCTACTTTAATACATGAAGCCGCGCTGGGTCATTTAGATCCCGGGCGGAACTTGATACAGCGTAGACCCCCTGGGGTTTTTTTCTAAGACCAAGGTGTGACGTTAGCTCACACTGTGATCTGGATCTATGACCCATGACTGCTAAATGAGGGATCAGCAGAGTTTACTGGAAAATGGCATGATTCGGAAAAAATGGTGTCTTTCACTTCTTCGATTTTGCACTGCTGCCGCCCCGGCCTTGTCGTGCTGTGTGATCTTTTTCCAATGTCTAGAACACAGTGGTGTTCACTTTTATGTCGCGGCTGCGGCCACACACGGTCTTGGGTGAACCTACCTACCTATGGAAAGGGGCTGCCACGTTCGGTGTCTCTCAGTTGACTGGCGTTTATTCAAAACCTCGCAAAGCATAAATATTCACGATTACCGCACAAAGTATCGTCAACCGAAAGATCTCCAGGTCACGAGGTAAGAAAAAATCATCCAGAGAAAGTGCTGGACATGAATTGTCGAGTCTGCCAATCAAATTTGAGGGACAAAATTTTCAATGAGGAAGTTACAGCCCATCCTCATGCAATCGAGCAGTGGGTCTGCGTCTGGATTATCTATGCCGGTAAATGATCCCCCACAAAGAGTGATTGTGAGTTGTGTTAGAGTTCTTACAGCCTTAAGTGCTTTTGATTTTATGACGGCACGACTATCGAGGTTAAGAGGGCGCTTTGCTGGCTAAGACCTTTCCTTCTCCCAATGACTTTTGAAGAATGGAAGGAGAGGGTTTCTAGTCGCGGAAAAAATAGTGTAGCTTGCCAAGCGACTATTCTTCAGAATTTACAACTGGGAATAGTGCACTGTGAGATACTTCCAGTAATGTGAATTTCCGGGCCGTGATTTTCAATGTGCCCTTCTGGTTATTAGGTACGCCAATGGACATGGACTGTGGAAGCTATTCATTCTGTGTCAAACTCTACCTGGACGCCGTCAAGTACCTACCTAAGGTGTGGAACACTTCCGCAGATCGATATTTCGAACTTTTGGTGGAAAAATGGTGTTGGACGCCACAGCCAGCCACTCTGGAAGTTTTGGCATTCCACTGATCCGCTACGTGGCGGAATCTCTTATGATACTATTCCAAGATATCTAGATCCTTTTGGCTTCACACTTGGTGGCGCATATTTCCATGTGAATTCTGCCTGCTACATGACAGTATAGGTATTGTCTGCCACAGGGATTAAGGGAGGTTCTACCACACCGGCGGCCATAATAGACTAATGGGGACGAAATCCAATTTACTCCGAAAAGGTAGGGACTCATAATTTTCATCTGGGAATAGACAACTACCCCGATGAAAACTCATTTTTTGATTGGCTGCCCCCATGGAGGGGCAAAAACAGATTCTGTTGATAAGAGTGAGATTCGAACTCACGCCCCGTAAACGAGATCAGGAGGTTGTGCTAAGGTGGACCTTAACCTGACGCCTTAGACCAACTCGGCCATCTTACCAACTTGGTGACCCTCTTAATCCAAATTCTAATTATCATGGAGTTTTAATGGACTGTGGCGGTGTATGCTCAAGCCGCTGCAAATTCCATAGAAAACGTCCATTATATTTCAGCATTGTTTGCGTCATGTTTCAGGATTTCTTAGGACGAAGAAACAAATATCTTCTAACTAAACTCCGCTCGATTTCTACGACAAGGCGCATATCTAGGTATCGGTCTTTTCATACCATTTGTAAAAAGATTGAAAGTGAACTCGAAGTTCTGTTGTGACGCATGTAACAGATGAGTTGGGCTCTAGGTAGAGCCTAGGTTTGTTCAAGACTGAGGTTCGCCAAAGAGACGCTCGCGCGGGACTACATGCATCACATCAATATCGAGAGATCAGCATATTCTATCACCGTCGTGGTACATGATTCATCAGTGTTGCGTAGAGCTTGGACCCATAGTTTCTCTGACGGGCGAGATCTTCTAGTATCATTACGTTATGGACACTAGTCCTATGCTAAGAATGATATAATGAGCCAATGTGCGCCGTCGTGCTATTTAATTCGTGATTTGAATTTGAATGTAGACATCAAGAGAGATGCCGTATATTGAAGCTTCTCCAGTTCGAAGTCCAGCTTGCCGGGAATCGTTAACTGTCGGCGTGGCGAAGTCCTGTAAACTCTATGTGATCCTTGAAGATCGTAGTCACTCTCTAATCAAAGCTCAATAATATCCGGGGCTTGAAGTCCTTTTGTTATGCTACGAGACGACTGCTATGGGAGTTTTTTCCCTCTTGGGCATGGGTATGGCGGAGTTAGCTCCTCGTTAAGCGGCGCCTGTGTGGTTGTCCTAGGTTACCTACGTGTCAATAATCGTTTTTACAGCATCCGACTAATGGCCTTTGTTGAGATAGCTTGGTGGTTTGGCGCGTCTCACCAGCGTGGTGCGCGTCCACGCACACCACCTTCGTAGCTTAGATAGGCACCTCTCACTAGATGCAATCTCACCATTCCTTTCTCCCCTCTTTTGGGTCTGCTACGTTTCACAGTAGCCTCCAATAGGTTATGAGCCCTGCTTAGCGCACAAAAAGTGAGGTTATTCACATTTCCTCACTGCCTAGGCACAACTTACATAATAACCTCTTTTTCCATCGTTTTTCGGCGCGTTTTGCGCCTTCTACAGAGTGCAGACTTCGCACCTCTTTACGACTTGACGATCCCTACGCATCGAATACGGCTACCGAAGCCATCGCATCGAATCGTCGCCAAAGTCCCTCCTTCCGGCTTCTACGCCATTTTCAGAGCTCTAACGCTCTTTACCTACGTAGCGGCACACCGCTGTAGCAGGCACGCCTACGTAGCGGCACTTCGCCGTAGTAGGCTTACCACATAATATACCTTCGTTATCGTGGACCTTATACCTTCCGGCTCTTACGCTCCTTAACTGCGTAGCGGTATATCGCTGTAGTAGGTATTACCTACGTAGCGGTACTTCGTCGTAGTAGGATTAATATATTTATGTATATTTAATATAGTTTCCGATCTCGAGGCTTATAAGGCGGCTAAAACCTTCGCCGAATCAGTCCCTATACTTAAGGGAAGAGCTAACTTCGAGAAATAGAAACAGGGGCTTTAATTTATTACAGATAGCCTGGACGAAGATCTATGGTCTGTTATTATAGGTAAACTAATATGCCCCATTCAAGAGCCTCGTGATACTCCTATAGAGGAAGCTATCTAAAACGTCCTTTTCGCTCAACTTAGACAAGAACCTACCGAAGAGGAATTTAATAAGTGGATTAATAAGAATATAACTTAACTAAATAACCGATTTCACTGGTTTCGCCGGAAATATACGCTTGCGAAATACCTTATCTATTATACACTTAGCGATTTAGCTCGTAGCTTCATACGTGATTATAAAGATTCTTATGAAATCTTCCTTCGTATTAGTAATATATATAGTACTAGTAACTATACTGCTTTGAGCCATAGGCTATTATCTTTGATTAAGCTTATATATACTAGTAGTAATCCGTATAATTTCGTTACTAAATAGTAAGCTGCTTTAGACCTTGCGAATTTAGCCGTTCTAAATACCCCGTTACTACCTAAATAGGCTCTGGCTTATTTTAAGCTTATAATTAACGGCTACTAAAGCGTGAAAGGTTTCTTAAATATATATGAACCTCTAACTAATCCGGATAGTATGCTTAACTATATTTTCGGTAAATTTATTAAATATAAGTCGAATGAAAAGTCTGTAAATATAGTAATCGTAGCCGTTTCTACCTTAAAAGATACGAAATCTACGCAAAATAACGATCGAGGTAGAGGTAGACGCAGAGGCCGAGGAGATAGAGGCCGCGGCAGAGGCTCCGGACGAGGTCGTGGCTAAAGTCAAAATGACTAGGATAATAATAATTAGCTATCGTATTATTATATCTACTATAAGCGTTTAATAGCTTATATTAGTGAGTAGTGCTTCTTTAACCCTAAATCTAAGGGTGCCTCTTAAGGCGGAGTTAATATAGCTATAGCTAGTACTTCTGATTTAAAAAAGGACTTAAATTCGAAGGAGAAATCCGAAAAGAAGATTTTAACGAGCTTCGCCGAAATAAGCTTATTAGCCGTTAATATTACGGCTATATTAACAGATAACGACGAATAGTGTACTTAGATGGTGGACTCTGGCGTATTAGCGTATATAATATCTTATTATGTAAATTTCATCAATTTCACGCTACTTATTACTAATATAAAGCTTCTAAACGGTTATTAAGTGTAGACTGAAGGATATAGTAATATTATTCTGGACTTTTTAAATGGAAATGAAGTTTATGAGCTTAAGCTACTCAGAGTCTGGTGTATTCCTTCTTTTAATATAAACCTTATTTCCTCGTGGTAACTTACGAAGGATTCTGGTATTAAGACTCGATTTAATAAGATATACGGCTCCCTATATAGGGGGGAAGAGCTTATCGTTACGGTAAAGTAGGAGAACGGTTAATATTAGGTTCGTACCTATAATAGTAATAGCCTTATTAATATACTTAGAGCTCTATCTGTTTAACTATCCTACGTATTTAGTAGTGGCTACGTACCCGCTGTAGATTTAGCTATAGCTTCTTAAATCAGTAAGATTCAACCTATTTTAATAGACCTAGCTTATCGCAGAGCCTATTACGTAGGCGAGCAGAAGGTGAAGCGTATACCTAAATATACCGAAGGAATTAATATTAAAAAGGGAACTGGTATTAAGTACCCTTATCCTTCTTGTATTCTTAGTAAAGGCTATACCTTACCTTTTAGACCAAGTAAGCGTATTAAGACTATATTAGCGCAGAAGCTTTATATTGATATTTGGGGTCCTATCTCTATCGTAGGCGTTAGAGGTAATCATTATTTTGTAATAGTTACCGATGATACTACTCGCTTCTGTTAGGTCTTCCTGTTAAAGGCGAAGAGCGAAATTACTGATAAAATTCGTATATTAGTAACCTATTTTTTAACGTAATTTGACTATAGAGTCAAGGTGATTTCAGGCGATAATACGCAAGAATATATTGGAATCGCCACTTTTTGCGAAGAAAACGGTATTATTTAGGACCCTGTTCCCCCCTATATACCTTAGCTTAACGGTATTACGGAGATTAGGAATCGTTAGCTTATTAAGCCGCTGATCGCCGTATTAGCTGAAAATTAGCTTCCTAAATATCTATAGGGTGAGCTGCTTTTAGGTGTTAATTACACTATAAACCGTCTCTGGTAGTCTACTATTAATATAACTCTATATAAAGCTTTCTATGGTAAAAAGCTAGATATTTCAAATCTGCGTGTACTTAGCTACTAAGCTTGGTATCTGATTCTAAAGGAACGTAGGGTAGATAAGCTTTCTCTATATATAGCCGAAGCAAGGCTAGTAGGCTATAGTACTGATGGATATCGACTCTATGATATTTATTCAAAGAAGATCGTGGTCTCTCGTAATGTGGTCTTTAATAAGAATATAACGAAGGATCTACCTAAGCCTGCGTACGATCTCGATACAGAGCTAAAGTTAGTTCCTGCGTAATCTACGGCTTATTAACGCCGTTATATACTATCGGATTTCCTACCGGCTAATAGCGATTAACTAATTTAGCTAGATTTGGCTAATAGCCCTAATAAGCCAGTATAGCCAGTAACCCTATCTCCTTATATTCTAATAGGAGACCTACTATTATCTGAACGGTCTAATATACTACTTTTATTATTTAAACGCGAAGCCTAACTTAAAAAGCTTCGTGAACAGATTAAGCGGAGATTCGCCTATAAACAGAATGAATATATCGACGATAGCCCTTAAACTATGGAGGATAGTTCCGAAACTATCGAGGGCAGTCCTGGAAATATCGACGATAATCCTGAAACTGTCGAGGGTAGTTCTTAAACTGTACCTAAGATAGGTCTTCGGTGTTCCTTACGAGTCCGTAAGAAGACTCAAGTGGCTATAGAGTCAGAGGAATATTTACGTTCTCTTAAGCTTTTAAATATAGCTCTAGCTGATTATATTAAATACGCTACTTTTTCAATTCGCAGTGTAACCGTAGACTTATAACTACTTCCAAAGCTTTTACATCAAGCTTCAGCTTAGTTAACGCTATATAAACCGGATGGCTAGCAGGATATAATACAAAATTATAGTAAGGATGAATAGACTAAATAGATTGAAGCTGTAGATAAGGAAATACAGAAGCAGCTAAAAAACGGTACTTGGCGCGTATATGATCTTCCTGCTAAAGGCACTAAAAAGACGCTTCTTCCGCTTCGATAGGTCTTTCGTATTAAGGACGATAGGACCTACAAAGCGCGTCTCGTTACAAAAGGGTTTAAGTAACGCGAAGGAATCGATTATCTTGATGTTTATGTAAGTATAGCTAAAGCTTTAAGCTTCAAAATATTCTGCGTAATCGCTGCGTATTTCGGCTGGTAGATGTATTATATTAACTTCGTTGCGGCGTTTCTTAACGCAGAG